AGCATAACTCAATTAGGCATACTTTCAAATTGAGACTTGGTTTGGCACCAATCCAATGCTGATCCTTACCATGAGGCCAGAGCATGATCATGTGGAAAACTGGTTCCTTTTTAATCACCAGGTCATGACAACTCAAACATTGCTTTCACTCTCAGTGTAAGTCACCAGACGTTAAAGAGAAGTAAACACTGGAGCAATGACTTGGTCATCACAAGTTTATAGACTGACCAGCAGCTTTGCATGCGTCCTCTACATTTATTCTCCCACTGTACTCACTCTGTCCTCCCAGTTGTAATGTGTGATGTCTTTGTTGTTTCACCACCAGCAGCACTGATAAGAAAATGAATGTTTAGGCTCAACACAGCCTTCAGACCAAAGCGCTGCTATGGTTTTTGTGCCATTGTCCTCCTCTGTAGCTGTCTTGTCTGCCTGCTGCTTTTGGCTCTGTGCTCCTCTCTTTTCACTTGTGTGATCTCCACACCTTCTCTAAATGTCCCTTCTCTGTCTCTTTTCTTTCAGTCTTGGTCTTGGTAATGGGCAAAGAAGGGGTCCATGGAGGCGGATTGAATAAGAAGGCATACTCGATGGCAAAATACTTGAGGGATTCAGGGTTTTAGTTTAGTTTTGATGTAGCTTATGCGGTGTAGTTGAGGGAGAGAAAAAGAAAACAAATGAAAAGGAAAACAAAAATCATAAAACACTGAAAAATGGACCAAAAAAATAACCCCCCAAATTACTGTCAAGCCTATGTTTCCCCGCAAACAGTCCCATTAAACAAAATCCCAGCATCATTTCTATCAAAGCCCAGGGTTCAGGCTCTGTCCTCAACAATGTAGCCCCACATTTAGCAAAGCGGCAATAAAAAAAATTTAAAAGTATATTATTTATTTTCCAGTCCTGCTATCACCATGTCTGTTCATTTATTTTGTTGTTTTTTTTTTCCTTGTGTACTCCAGCATTGGTTTTTGTCATGGGGAAGGAAGGTGTCCATGGAGGGCAGCTCAACAAGAAAGCATTTCAGATGGCTGAATACCTGAGGAAGTCCGGATACTAAAGCAGCCTGTACCCAGCCACCTAGCAGCTCACCCTTACCACCCTGTTGCATTTCACACTACTTCCAGTCCTAGTTGGTAGTTACTTTGTTTTTTTTTTTCCTTTCTCTGCCTTCTCTCCTCCCCATTTGTTATCCCATATTTTGTTATCCTCTCCCTTCAACACACTTGCGCTGTGTACTCTTACCCCCTTAAGCACTATAAGTTGATCCATAGCAAAGACGAGCATGTTGCTAACAGGATGTCATGACAAATCTGTACTTAACCAAGACCAGCAAAACAAAACAAAAAAAAATCTGGCCAAACACTTGGACAACGAAAGCTCGAGCGTCAGTTTGAAGTAGATATTTCTTTTTCTTTCTGTCATAGTGCCCATTCCTTAATCCCTCCCGAACCCGATCATACACACTCCCTCCCTGAGCAGCCGATGCCTTTGGAGCACTTGAGCGGTAACCAAGCTCGTCATGTCTTCCTCTTTAATTTCCCCAGTCATGTCCGGGAGGGCAGACTGCGTGCATATGGCAGTCCACTGTTTCCCTCTCACGCCCACACACTACTGCCCACCCTCCCCCTCCTTCTCGCACTTCTTCCTGCCAAAATGTTTAGTTCCTCCCCCTTACCCTGTTTCCCCATCCTGTTTGCCCAAAACAGGCGACTACAAACCTCACAGGAGATTCTCCTCTTCATCAAACACTCAACCAACCAGTCCCCTAACCCCCTCTCCTTTCAGATCCACTACTTTGTCCTGAATACATTTTCTAAAAGGGGGGGAAGGTGTGTTTGGGGGGTGCTCAGATGGGCTCAGGATTCGCAAGCATTGGTGTCGTCCAGATGCTGGTAGCCTCGCCTCCCACCACTCACTCCCCCGACTACACGAAAACCCCATGGACATTCCACAGTAACAATGGCTCAGGCACTTAATACTGTTTTTGTTTGCCAGCTCCTGTAATATATTTTCTTTTCTTTCTTTCTTTTTTTTTTTTTTTTTTTTTTTTGAAAGGCTGCCATTTTTGGACAGTAGATATCCCAGCATATAACCATCTGGAGCATGTCCAGTTTAATTTTTTTTTTTTTTTTCTTTTTTTTTCTTTTTTATAGGACCAAGTGTAGTCGAAGCTCGGGTGTTTATACAATTGCTCTAAAACATGTGAAGGATGACACTAACTTTTTTGATGAAGGAAAACGCTAACCAGACAGTAACACTTACCATGGTTAAAAAAATATGAAGCTACAGGGGAGGTAAGGGTGGGAGTATTTGAAGAAAATTCTCACTTCATTGTTTTTTTTTTTTTTTCTTTTATTGTTTAGAAAAGAAACGACTGCATTTGTACAAACCCATGCTGTGTTGACAACTACAAAACTGTGGAATAAATTGCCTTTTACTCTATAGTCAGCTGAGCTCTGGGGTATCACATGGTCTGTCCTCGCTCAGTACTGCTAACTGTAACGTCCAACTGAAAAAACAAAAAAAAAAAACACTTACAAAAGTAGAAATGACACTCAATGGGAGATGGGATTGGTTGGAACAAAGACGCTTCTGGTTGTCTTGTTGAAACTTAACTGCAGAACCTGTGTATCCTGTGCCATAAATATAGAGAGATCTGTTGCTGTTGTAAGATGGATTTTACCCACTGTCCACTAAAGAGTCATTTCATTGGCACTTTTTTTTTTTTTTTTTTTTTTTAGCTTCAGCTCCACTGTTTAGGCCTTGTGGGATATGTGTACTCATAAAAAAGAAACCTGTTTCAAGTCCTGTTTGCTGATTTATGTTAATTTCCTTTTTCCTCACCACTTTTTTTTCTTACATCTGGGATACAGTCTCTTTAATGCATCTGATTTCATATGCATAAACCAAGAAATGCCATAAATTGATTTATCACCTTGTTTACAGACAGATCAAATAAATTTATTCCAACCAGATCAGTGTTTGCTGTCCTTTATCACACTGAACGCTGCCTCTCTTTCAAAGGAATATTTTGCCAAGAGTCAGATGAGAATATGGATACCATACTTGTGTATGTTCGCTGAACATGAAGCTGCAGCCGGTTAGCTTAGCACAAACTGCTCGCCTGGCTCTTTCCAAAAAGCCAACAGCAAGTCTTCTCACGACGTGGATTAAGGCTTCTTATCAAACTAAAGACAAAATGTTAAAGTTTCTCAAAACTGGATCATCAACGAGTTTGCATGAGTAATAATTTGAGCCGTCTGAAGGTTTACAGAGGAGCGCAGTTTCTCAGCCCGGTCAGTAATCCTGTTTAACGAGACAGGCCTCAGGACAAACACTTATTATTCCCAAAGTCACATTTATTTATTTATTTATTTATTTATTTATTTATTTATAGCTGATTTGAGTCATAGAACAAAGAACACTACAAACTATTTCAGAGTTTGTGAGCTGTTTAAGGTCAAGACTGAACTTTAAAGCTCAATATACAAACACCCTTATATCTCAACCTGAGGGGTTTTCAAGTAGCTGTTCTGAAGCCATCAATCATCTCAACTTTAAAAGCCTGCATAGACAGAATCTTCATAAGAAAAATGGTAATTTGAACATCTGCATTTCCATGGCAACTGGGCAAACCATCTGCGTTCCTGTCAACCTTGACACTTAAAAAATAGTGAGGATTTGGAAACTAAAGTGGAGGGTCTGGGGGTACTCCACACTTTGTTTCCTGCACTTAAAATTAAATGAAAATTAAGGACACTGTAATGTAATTTTTTTGTGAAGTACTTTTAATCATACTTTGGATTCTCAGAAAAGATTTCACCCCTCTGGCATTTTTAATCACACCATGCTACCTCAATGCTGAATGGAAAAATCAACGTAGTTTATACAAAATGTGTGCCTTTTATAAAAATGTTTGCTCAAGAAATGAGAATTATTCTTCCCAGGATGTCTAAAATTTGCTTGAGTATATCTGTTTCTTAGTCCCCAGCATGTGAGAGATGGAGAGCACAAAGTGCCATCAGCTATCTTCCGGGCCACGTGAAAATAAGCGTAGATTTTGGGGGTGGACACGGGGACATCTCCCCCTCAATATTTAGAATATGCATTTGTCCCAACCCCCTTCTTACCACATTAAAAACATTAAAAGTAGCAGAGGACTTTTACTCTGACAAAATTAAAGTAATTTACACCAAAAATTGTTGCAGAAAATGCACAAAATGGAGCATAAGAAAAAAATCACCAAAATGCGGAAGATCCCCAGCCCCCCGTTTCAAATGTTTCCCTCTCAGTATTGAAACAGACATATATACCTTGTCATGCTAGGAAGCTTTTTAGAGGCTATTTTTAACTATATTTTTGGGTGAAAAAAAAGACAAGAGTTGCAGGCTTGGGTTATACGTGCGAGAAATTGTGACCCTGGGAGGAAACCTTGAGAGGGCAGTGAAAATCGGTAGAGCTGGCAAGTGTAACAATCTGCTGATTTAGGATCATGTGATATTGAAAGTTCCAGAGTCTACTAAACGGACCCTGAGGTGAGACTGCCATTTATTATTGAATATCATTTTAATTATGTTTTAGTGTTTTATAGAAGAAGAAAAGGAAATTGAGAAATAGTAAATGACGTGACAGAGGTTCCTGTCAGACACTCACCAGGGAGGATGCGGTCCATGGGTGGCACTTAAAACCCTCCGCCCTCGCCGGAAAACCCTCATCTTGGGGTAAAATTGCACTCTTGAACAGAGAAATTTGTGACAGAAGTGTAGAGGCCCCGTAACTTCCACTTACTAATGAGCCATGCCGACTAATACAGGCTGATTTGTATCAGATAATCAGCTCATTACACTGCTCAGGTTTACTGGATTTTTCTTGTTAAAGCCTCAGATGAACGTTGCAGCTACATGTTGAGACAAAATGTGCTGACACAAGGCTATATTACATCACATTATCAGTGTCATGAAAACTGAGTGAATTTTAATTACTGACTGTGAAAAGTTTCCTTGTCAAGTGTCATTTCATTTTATTGAAGTGAATTCATATTGAGAAGAGACATACATGAGCAGGAAAACACAAACAAGACAAAATACATCAACTGAAAAAGGCAACAGGTTTAATGAACAAAAAAAAAATCAAGCCATGTTATGAAAACAAAAGATTATTTACTATAAACTGTATTAAAACGAGATAAGGTCAGTTAAATGTGTATTACAAGACCCATCAACCAATAACTGCATGTGTTAAATGGAGTGACAGGTCCGGAGCAGCTGAAAGAAGTTTACCACAGGCAACGTGGACATCGTTTCCACTCGAGTGTCCCTCCACGCTTTTAACGTGGCGTCACATGTAGAGCACATTCTTCACTTTCGAATTTGTTTCTCAAACTGGTTTGGCTTCAGTTTGTCTTAGTGTGAACCGTTGTAACAGATAAACCATGGCACAAGACACAGACAGGAGCACCTAGGCTCCTGCGTACATCAGGCTAGAAAATAAATTGGCAAAACCATATTGCTGTGGCTTTAAATGTTTCTATACTTGCTGAATGTTACTTTCATTTTTACAAAAAGGGTGCTGCATAGGAGTGTCAGTGTAGCGCAGACATGTATGTACAGTCATGAAACGTCCTCGTCGTCTGGAACATGTAGGATAGGAGATAATCAAAGGTAAAGAAGAAGTAACTTATTGTGATTTATACTTTTATATATACACAGTACTTTCACTGAACAAGTGTGATCTTGTGTCTGGGACTTTTCCAGTCATGTATCATCCTTTTATTAGGACTAAATAGAGTACAGTATAAAAGCCTACTGTACGTCACTGTCGCTAATCCAGTCAAATCAGCCGTCGACCCCCAAGATATGCTACTGACGCTCTGTCACACAGTTGGAAATCAGCACTTTCTCCATAAATCATGTTAAAAATAAAACTTAAAATTTGTTTTTTAACTTGTAAAGAGGATACATTACAACGTCTTGTAAGCAGTGACAGAAAAACTTTAAAGATGAATCTGTTTTCGTGACCCCCCCCGCCTCCCCCAACGAAAGTCTCTGCAGCTGTGAGGTCGGGGAGGGCGGGGATTCAGCGACCAGCCGGCAGTCAAGTCAAGCTCGGGGCAGGTCGTGCTCGTGGCCTTCAGAGCAGGGCTGCTGCATCTGCACCACCACAGTCTCCACGGTGACCTCCTCCTCGCTGTCGCTGCTGTCCAGCTCGTCGTCCTCGTAGTCGGAGGACTCCTGGTCCTGCTCCGAGCGCGACGCTCCTGACATGGTGCCAAAGGAGTGGGCGCTGGTGGAGGCCAGGGAGCGCAGCAGTGGGGTGCTCTCCGACGCCTCCTCGTTCTCGTCGGGGCCGCTCTCCCCTTCATCCGAGTCGGAGTCGGAGTCGCCGTGCGAGGGTACCACTTTCTGCTTGCACACCGGACAGGTCTTCTTAGTTTTGGTCAGCCAGGGGTCCACACACTTACTGTGGTAGGCTGCGGACAACAGAGGTAATTCGTTAATCATTCTGTTTACGCTTGAACAGACACCATGTTTTCTCATACTTGAAGGATAAATCCAGGCATTCATTTTTCTTACTGTCAACAAATTCAATGGAAAGACCAAAACTAACATTGTTTAAACAGCGTGCAGTGACTATGCTGCGTAATTCTGTTTAAAAGGTACGATAAGGGAATGGGGGGACAGAGTTGTCTTGCCTATCAGGTGGCAACGGAGGTAGTAACAATGGCAAATCAACATCTGCGTAAAAGGGGCAACCGGAAGAACAGGACGAGTGTAATGTTTTAAAGATATGTTATGTTTGCGACCTACCACTGGGAGATTTTAAAAGCAGTTAGCAGCTAACTCAAAGAAGAAGAACAGCAACTAAAAATGTCTGTAACCTGGGGAGAGAACAGGGGCCGGAAGCTCCTTACTCTCTAAGCAGAGGGCGAGATCAGCCGCCATATAGCAGGGACGGTAAATGATTGTTCACGTCATTTAAAAAGCGCTGCTGACACGTATGTTATATGTCACACTAGAAGCCGACGCTGTAGTGTAACACGTTATGCTCATCACGCCTCGTTTGCTTCCAGAAGGCCAGCATGTTGTCTACAATCATCAGGCCCCCAGGAATACTGCTAAGCCAAGCTTCCGATTTTTCCTAGTGGCCACTGGCGGTATTACAGCAAAAAAAATCCCCAGAGGCCCAAAAGCATTTTACCCATAGGCCTTCATTCTAAAAGAAACATCCTGTAAAACTGTTGACAGGACACCGTGGACTGCAAACAAGGTCAATTATGACTTGTTTATTATGAATTATGATCCTTGGACATTTTGTATTTGCAAAACATTCCTTAAGATGAGAAAAGCGATGTAAAAATCTGTGACATTTCATGTAAAGCATTTCATTTTTGTGTTACATTCCTAAGACATGTAAATGGTTCATGTTAAAACTCACCATGAGAACACGGAAGGACTCGGAGTTTGTCACCTTCTTCATATTCGTCCAGGCAGATGGCGCACACATCATAGTTGTCCCCTGTGTACAAAGAGACGAGACATAAATCCTCTGACTGCTTTAAACTGAACACATTTTACGTATTGGCTGGTGGACGTGCATTGTTGACAGGAGTGATGCAGGTTTGGGAGACAGGGTGTGAGTGTGTGTTCAGTTTATTACTAGTGCACTAAGATTAATTGTTTTTCATGTTTTCCTGAAGGTCACTGACGTCAGGGGGGTCCATGACGTGTTTGGCAATTAGGAACTCCCGCTGCTTCACGACCCTAATTTCCTTCATTTCCCTAAATTGTGTCACTTTTCCAAATATGTCCCGGCATCCACCCGTCCAATCCCCGGCCTGCAGGGAGAATCACTGCTAAACCGCCAGTGCTGCATTTTTCTGACGTTACAGGAGGTGCAAAGTCTCTCTGTGCACTAAAAGCTCAGGAATTTATCAACGCACTCCCTTTCAAATTCCACAGCGTTCTTCTCATTTTCCTTCCCTTCCTTTTCTCTGCTGGGTCTGCAGGGAGGGAGGGGGGGGAGCAGGGCTCTGGGTCGGTGTGTTTATGTAAGCTCTAAATGAGCATGTTTTCCCCGACTGGGCTCTCTGTGTCCATGCCAAGGCTGCATGTGACCGTATAAGGATGGGGAGTCACATCGACCAGGGCCCCCGTCCTCCTCCTCCTTCTCCTCCTCCTCTTCCTTTGCTCTCTGAGCGTCAGCAACTTTAACTCAAGGCAGTGTTTTCAGCTCTGCTCCTTCTTCCTCTTCACACTTATAACTCTGGTTCTTCCTCTCCAAAACTTCAACCTCACTATCATCCCCAACACTTGTCCTTTTTTTTTAAACATAATCCCAAGCAAGCCTCCATCTTTTCCTCTCTTCCTCACTCTCCCAGGCCGGTGCTGGACGGCTGGGGTTGAGGGAGAGGGAAGCTTTGTGCAGGCTTGGATCCAGCGTACACTCAGGAAATGCTGAACTGTGGCACTGAGCTATTCTAAGTGAAGCAGAGAGAAAAGGTTCAGTGGCTTTCTGAACTCAGAGACGGCTCTGAGGAGATAATGAACAAGGCTCTATTGTTGTCTTTTTAAAACTTGGTGATGCAGCAGCATCACTAAAATGAATTAATACAAGGGCGGGAAACACCAGCGGTCACATGATCGGACAACAAACCCGCAGGCTGGCAAAAGGTTATCAGCCCTGCAATTTGTAATAAACAGCCATCACAGTTCACTGACCAACTTCACGGTTAAACTTTGACTTACGGCCTTTACACCTGTTAGCACATTACAGAACTACACATAACACACCTACATCCTGTCGTCAACGCCTATGTGAGCTGCTCCCCAATCCTCTCGTATCCCCTCTCTCTTATCCTCTCAGAAAATGATTGAACTGACTCTTTATAAAGTCGTCTCCTCCTCTCCTCATGTGCTACCGCAGCTCATTTTGTTATGTTGCATTGCTCATGGACAAACTGAAACTACACTGTACTTGACACATTTACTCTAAAGTCCTCCTCTGCTCTGATCACTAACGTCTTCCTGCTCAGACTGCGAGCACCATCACTCTCTCTGTCACTCAACCACATGCACACTACACATTGAGGCGCTACATGACGGTTGCCTGCCAACAGCCTCTAACTGGTCCAAAAGTCTGATCATTCCAAAATAATGCTTTCACACTACAAATGAACTGGACCATGGTTCAGTTTGATTCAGACCGAGACCACCTCTTTGCATCAGACCAAGGGTTGGCTGTATGAGCTGGGGGAAGGTTTCAAATCTGTTTTGGATCAAACTGAAAAGTCGGAAAGTCTGGACCAAACGCGGCAGGTGTGAAAGGGCTCTTAGTGTACTTGCGGTTTTGTTGTGAAAAGCTTCAGGTTTGGGTTTAGATCTTTTCAAATGTCATCGATAAAAAAAAAATCTCTCTTTTGTCTCTGGCTGTGCAAATCATCGCAATCCATTTGTGAAATGAGTCGCAAGAAGATGCACATTGTCCAGTGGGAAGAGCAAAAGAGAAAGAGTGTAGCTAATGCGTTACATTAGCCTGGCGAGCTAACACCTGGTCACAACTTTGGAGGTACTCTTTATTTTCAGATCTTAAAGACAGGTAAATGGTAAATAGAATGCACTTATACAGCGCTTTTCTAGTCTACTGCTTTTACACTACATGTCACATTCACCCATTCACACACGGTCACACACTGGTGGCCATACATGCCGCTTGCAACTCAGTAACTATTCACACGCTCTCACACACTGATGGAACAGCCATCGGGAGCTATTTGGGGTTTGGTGTCTTGCCCAAGGATGCTTCGATACATGGAGGAGCTGAGGATTGAACGGCCGGTCTTCCGAATGGTGGATGACCCACTGTCAATGGCATGGGCGGAGTTCATTTGGCAACTGACTTTCTTGGTCCACTAACTTAATACTTAACCCACAAAATGACCAATTGTAAATCAGTTAGTCATGCCCTGTTACCTTAAATTTGTGAAGAACGCTTTGTTTTTCTCGCATGCCTCCAAGGAAAGCTGCCAACATATTGATTTGTTGATTGATTGGGGACCACATTTAAAGGGCCAGTGTGTAAAATGGGTTGAAAACAGTGACATCAGTGGTCAAATTCTAGATTGCAGGGCTCACTCGCTCACCCCTCCTGTCTGGTAAATGACGGTGGCCTCGTAGGGACAAAAAGCCTTGCGCACGATTTTTTCAGGAGTAGGTCTATCTAGGACGAGGTGAATGTTTATTTAGAAATCTAAGCCATGTTACGATATTGTAATGAATCACTCACAAGCAGGAGACCAGAGGAGCGTTCGGGAAAAAGGCCCGTTTATTTGAGCACTCCAGAAACTCTGGTAACACTCCACTCCGTCCCAAACTCTGACTCTTCTAGCGTAACAGACACACTTCATAACTTTACACACATACTCGTTTNAACTTTACACACATACTCGTTTACCATACCAAGTGGGGACCCCCTCCCCTCTCTGCTCCACCAATCTCCAGCCCGCACACTGACTGACAGCGTAGCCGGTAAACAGAGCTCAGCTGTTTATTTAGCCTAGCAATATCTCCGGACTATAGTAGCTGCAATGAACGACTTTGAATGAGATTTTGAAGAGTTTCTTGTAGCGGACACAGACCCAGAGCCATACCTGTTTGAGCCGGAGCATACAGATGAGGAACTCCATGTGTTTGATGCTGAGCGGGTGAGAAGAGAGGCTGAATGCACAGAATGGGATTCGGTGCTACTGCTACCATTGTTGGGGAGATATATCACCAGGAGGAAAAGCACTGCAGAGAGTGCATCACAAGGAGTGAAGTTGCGTCTTCTTTTCCTCGCAGATGACGGTTCGGGTTCATTCTCTCCTGTTGCGTGGTAAGTGTGGTCCATTCGCAAACTTTATAACTAAAAAAACTTTTCACTACTCTCAATCGACGAACTACTAACACTCTCTGCTGTTTCCTCCTCCTTCTTCCTTCCTTCCACTGTCTTCGTTGGTTCATTTATACACGCGAAACGCGTTCTCTGGCTGGCTGGATTGTCCGCTCGGTCTGCCGTATATACATGGCGGCGCAAGATGGCGACCTCTCTAAAGCAAGGCTCTTGCTATATATATATATAAAAGCATAATTATAAGGCTACGAAAACCAAACGAATTTTATTTTATAGCGATCATACACTTGTATAAACATATTAATGGGTAGAATATTCAGATTCAGATTCAGATTGACAATAAACCATGCCAAATATTACACACTGGCCCTTTAACAACAGACAAAAAAATACAAGACATCTCTATACAAACTCTCACTTTGGAGGCTCGTGAGAAAAACGAGGTTTTCGTCATGATTCCAAGGTAACACAGCACGTCTAATTGATTTACAAGTGGTCCTTTTGTGGGTGAAGTACTCCTTTAAAGTTTAGTGGTTTAAATTAATCTGACTGAACTGTTGGCTTGTTTACAATCTGGCTGATCATCTGACAGTTTGTGTCTTTATTTGTCCAGTTGTAGCGATGGTACCATGTGCCCAGATTTCAGCAGTGTCTTTGGTGAGTACAATGCTATCATAACTGATTAAATCATGGCCAAAGCTACATAAATTACTAGAGTAGTAATAAGCCTGAATTATCCTTTAACTCTTAACTCCACATAGTTATTTTTAAATACAGTAAAAAGAATTAAACTCTAAAGCCTGTGAGATGACTCAAAGCAGCCCAGGACTCTGTCCAGTGAGTGAGTGTTCTGCAGCAGAACATAATTCACAGCCTGATCCACTCATCCCCCCTCACGGAACAAATTACACCACTCCTGCTGATCAAAGAGCCCGCTGTGGACGTTACCCACTCCTCATGTCTAGGCGCTCCCACCAGGAATCAGCTTCAGTAATGTCATTACTGTGACCTGCACATGTGAGCTGAGATTTGTGAGTCTCACAGGTACAGTACGTGTGTCCAGAGGAAGTGTTGCAAGAGAAAAATGCAATAACAATAAAATGTTTTAGAGAGAATTAGGCACATAATAAAAACATGTATTAATTAAGGTGGTGTAGGCAATTCTGGAGGACGACATTTGATTGTTGAGTCTCATTCCAAGGTCGTCAAATACAGATGTTTTGGGTTGGTATTCAGACCAAACCACCAATCAAAAGCGTACATGTTTGATGAGCTGGGAATAAACTGTCTTTTTCTACAATCACCTACTCCACCTTTAAATAAATGCTCAGCAACACCAAGACATGTGAAAAACAACTCAATAAAACCATTCTTACCAAAGTGTTTGCTGAGGTGACAGACACAAGTCTTAATATATTGTGTGTTTTCAGTTGAGTCAGCTTTGAATTTGGCCGATCCAAAACATCTAGTTCAAGATTTTGGCAACGTGCACACTTTTCAATTGCTGGGAATCCCTTACATTTACGTTTTGGGGCCAGTAGCACATCTTAAAAGGACTCTTGAGCCAGTGCAGCTCTTCTCCCCTCTATTTTTCATTAATCAGTCCGCCTGCCAGCATTCCTGGCTCT